CTTTTTGTGTTGACTGTCAGGTCCATTTTATTTATAGTGTACAGCACATTTAAACAACAGAAGCAAAGTTCACAAATCCCTCCCAAAAAAAAGCTGAGAGGTGTGTTTTATTGTGTTAATAAATTATTATGGAAAATAAAAAGCACCTTGACTTAGTGGTTAATTAAATGTGTTCAGAAACTGCAAAGTGATGATGATTCATCTCATAAATCACGACGCACTGCTCTCCTTTACATTAGCAACCTTTGTAAGTTAAAGTATCGAAAATATTTTTCAATACGAAAATTTGCAGCATCTTACATCTGATGCAAGCATGGAGGTTTATTGTGCAGTACTGCAGGCAGAGTGTGAGCTGAGCAGAGTGTTTGGAAGAATTTATCTTCTTCTCGTGATGCTGCCTTTTTCACAGCCAGATGCACATTTTAATTTCACTAGAGAGCACTGCATGCATCTTTACAGCTGGCGCATAAAACGTTCAAGCGCCTCGGGCGATCATTACAAGCCAGCTGCCAGCTGTAAACTCTCCGATTTCCGCACAACAACCGGTGAAATAATAGCACATCTTTTACGCCGCTCTTCCTGTATTAGCACACCGCGATAAAGATAACGACGATGATATGAAGACGAATGGGGGGTGGCGATAATTAAGATGATGAAGGGCAGGTGTGGGTTGAGCGGTGGACCTTCACAGCTTAGGTGCAAACACAGGCTGGTTGCTAGACAACCGTGTCCTCCAGAGGGTCCTTGTAAGGCCTGGAGCTGGGGTGAGACAAGGGGTCAACACAACTCTACCTTCAAACCCCACAGCACACTAAAAATAGACTCGGATTTAGTGTGTGTGTAAGAGAGAGTACAGTGGAGAAAATTACAGATAAAAAGTAAGCTACATGGAATAAGTGACATTAGCTGTGTGGAGGAAGATGGAGGAGGAGGAGGTTTTGGGATGAGCGAAGTCTGACGCATTAGCAGAGCGGTGCGTAAGGCTGCTGTAATACGAGCTTTTTCCTATCTGTCTTCTCCGAGAAAGCCTCATCCCCTTCTGCCTTACTTTCCTCATGCACGCACACTCACACTCCTTTTATAAAAATACCCAAGGACAATCCTCACTATTAATAGGAAGTGTTGTCAACTGGCTCTGGAGAAATGGGACCTGCTGTTCAGCTAACTATTTTTGCAGTCCTTTGTAGTGGTGACCCCTTGCACTGTCAATTACATCCTTAATAATGCAGATTATTAACGACCCTATAACCTGTTTCACTTTTTTTTTAAACAAAAGTTATTTTGCAAAATGCTTAAATATGGCATGTGTTTTATTATTATTATGATTTTGTTCATCATGAGCTCCCTCGTGAGCTGTTCCAGAGGGACGCTCATATTATTTACTTGACTCATCTTTCGTCACTGGGCTCTTTTGATTCAATCACCAGTGCGGTAATTGAGCTCCACGCATACTGCAGGTGACTTAGAGGCCTCTGCACCGACATCCAGTGATCCCGCATTCAGCTATTCCCCGGTGCTGACTGCATGTACAGTAAATAAGCCGCAGTTCACCGCTGACAAGAAACCACGTGTGAGAAAGTTCTGATTTAATTTGTCGTCTGTCTTTTAATTTCTTTGAGGTGTATGAGAGCAGTAGACAAGTGACATGCAGATAGGCTTAAAAGCCCACGTCCAGATTACTTTTAATGTTTGACGCTGTATCCTCCTGAAACTGGGATGACTATCACAGAAAAGAACTGCTTTGAGGTAATGTTTTCTATGTGGATGTAGCTCAGGAGGTAGAGCAGGTCATCTACCAATCTGGTTCAGTCTCTAGCTCCTCTTCTTGGAGAAGATACATAACCCCTTGTTACCAAAGCACACGTGTGAATGTTAAGTTAAAAGTGCTTAGGCATAGAAAAAGGCTCTTGTATAAATGTGT